TCAATTTCATGAGACAAAGTATATGTGAGCTGCTGTATGGAAAATAAATTTGTTCTGTAACCTTTCACCCAAATCACAATAAAAGGTTTAAAAAAAAAAAAAAAAAAAGAAGACTACAGCTCAGTCTTCCTAACCTTCAGCACTCTTCTTACCATGTAGCTTGAACATGTTTTCTATGACTTAATCCATAGAAGGCACTTAGCCATGTGTCGACAGGTATGAATGGATGGGTGGATGGAGGCTTCGTAACCAGAGCGGTTGCTTTTTAGGCAAATGTTAACATCTGAAGCTGGTGTGGAAGCCAAACGTTGGGCCCAGTTTACACTGTTGAATGTTCTTTATATCTGCGTTAAGCAGAGTTCTCGGTACCACTTTGCAGGAAGTTCTACCAGATGGGCTTTTCTTCCAGTGTTGACTGATGGTTGTAACAGGCGTAGCATACCAGGTGAAGTTGTCTTTGATTTAACCAGTTTTCGTGGAGTCGATTGAAACTCATGGCAACCCCGTGTGTGTCACAATAAAACCGTGTTCCACGGAGTTCTCACTACCTGGTTTTTCAGAAGTGATTGCTAGGCTTTTCTTCCAAAGCACCTCTAGGTGGGACTCAAACCTCCAGCCTTTTGGTTGGCAGCCAAGTGTGTCACCACTCAGGTACTGCCGGGTCAGTGTTTCAAACCAAGAAGAACGTATGTCTGAAACAGTGGTTTTCATCCAGGGGCGATGTTGTTTCCCAGAGACGTTAGGCTTTCTGTGTGTCTCATTAGGCAGGAGGCATACTTGGTTGTCATAATGGGGGCTGTACTACTGGCATCTGGTGGGCAGAGGTCAGGGATGCTGCTGCACAAGCATGCTGTAATGTCCAGGATGCCCCCCACTGAATATTGGCTCAAATGGTACTGAGAGCCCCGCTTCAAATACCAGGTTCACTTTCAGGGCAGTGGGGCCCTCATTCGGCTGGGGGTCCCTGGAGCCACAGACATAGTCACCCACACTCTCTAATCTGTCATTTTCATCTCTTTGAGTTTTTGGAGACCAAGCATCAATGATTGAAACTCTGAAAATTTAATGTCATCTATTGTAACCCTACTGTAGGTACGCCTTGTAAGAGTTACGCTTGTGAGAATGATAAGAAGCAAAGTATTGCCTGCAGGTGGCTGTTCTCCCTCATGGTCCTGACCTTCTCCTATCTCCTTCCTTGTTCATTGCTTCTTCTTCCAGCCGTCCCAGGACCCCCCTGCTCAGAAGGGCCCCACGCTTACCACCAAAGTTCGACGCACCATGAGCAGCCGAGCACATGAGGCCGTGAAGGCCATTGCGCTTTGCCATAATGTGACCCCCGTGTACGAGTCCAACGGCGTGACTGACCAGGCCGAGGCTGAGAAGCAGTACGAAGATTCCTGCCGGGTGTACCAGGCTTCCAGCCCAGACGAGGTAAGCTCCCAGCGCTGGGTGTGTGAGGCCCGCAGAGACCCCCTGCCCTTTTCCACATGTTTCCATGGAGTTTGCCAAGGAAGTGACATGCCAGGGCAGATGGTGACTAACTGGGGATGCCAGGATGAAGCAGCATCGTTAGGGAAACAGGTCCTCAAACACACAAGGAAATGAATCTTCCTCTAGGGGAAACAGTGGTGGACTTGGGATGTGGCCTGAGTCAGGAGGACTGAGAGATCTTGTTTTGTAACTGAGATGGCCAGCACTTCGAGATCACAGACCTTGTTAAGTCACATACTTTTTTGTAAACACAGCTTCATCATGATATAATTTACATACCATACAATTCACCCATTTAACAAAGTGTACAATTCAGTGGTTTTTGGTGTATTGATAGATTTGTGCAACCATGACCACAGTCAGTTGTAGAACATTTTCATCACCAAAAGAACACACTCATTTCTTCCACAAACTCCCCACCCATTGGCAACCACACATCTACTTTCTGTCTCTTTCATTTTGCCTGTTGTGGACACTTCGTTTGAACAGGATCATGTTAACACGTGACTGGTTTCCTTCCCTTTCACGATACTGTTTTCCAGGCTCATCTAGGTTGCAACATGTGTCAGTATTTTATCCATTTTATGGCCAAATACCATCCCATTTGTGGTAGGGGTTTACCACATTTTGTTTAACCATTCGTCAGCTGATGGACATTTGAGTTGTCTCTATTTTGTTGGCTGTTCTGAAGAATGTGACTGAACCTTTTTTTTTTCTTTTTCTTTTCCTTTATTTATTTATTTTATTGTGATTTGGGTGAAGGTTTACAGAGCAAATTCACTTTCCATACAGCAGTTCACATATACTTTGCCTTGTGACATTGACCACAGTTCACCACAATGCAACAGCTCCCCTCCCACTTCCTCCCCATAGTTACCTCTTCCCTGTGTCCATCCCTCCATACACTCCTGCCCCCTGAGCTGTCTCCCTGTGC